GGGGGGGGGGGGGGGGGGGGGTTCCAAAGTTTCGAGGATTTCAATAATCATTCGAACCTTGGTGTTTGTAAGATTCAATCCTTACACCGTGAACCCAAACCTAAAACCTCAAACTATTTAGGGCTGAAGTCTGCGTTTCAAGGCGGGCTCAGCGGTTTAGACTGCAACGGCTTTGTCGGGAGGCTCCGGGAATTCTGAGGCTGCCGGCTTCTGCCCAGCTGCTCTCAGTGAGTTCGAAACGTTGAACAATTCTGGATGCTCCCCTAAAGCTCCGAATGCCCCGACAAATGAGGTGCTGTAGTTTAGGGTGCACTGGTAATCGTATTTACGTATGCCAAGGTGCAAATGCCTGCTTTGCTAGTTCGGCCCCTTGGGCTTGATCACAGCACTCGGCAAAGAAGATGGCAGCCTTGTGATTCTGAGTCCACAGCAGCACCGGGAAGTGAAAAACGTACACCTACCCCTTTGGGTTTAGGGTTTAGGGCTTAGGGCGTCAATTCCATCCAGTTGGTTGACAATCGCACCGTGATGCAACTAACGGAAGATATCTACAACTGTATCCTTGGTCCGGCAGCCTGATACCAAACCCGAAAACCAAGGCGACCTAACTTGCAGCATCGTGCTGAAGCCTGCAGCGAATTTACGGTCGCCTCATGACATTAACACCTTGGTGTAGATAATGCTCCGCAGGATGTACCGCATCAGATTTAATTAGATTCTGCCTGTCGTGCATGTTGGCGTTCTTGTTGAGATGCTTCTCCGAAGACGTTCCGACGCACCTTCGTATCCTGCTTACCAGAAAGTCTATGATCACCGTGCCCATGAGCAGAAGTCGATAGTAGTATGACATAGTAGTAGTCGTCGTCGTGGTCGTTGTCGTGGTCGTTGTCGTCCTCGTGGTTCGTGATTCGTGGGTCGTGGGTCGTGGGCGTGGTCGTGGTCGTGATTCGTGGTGGTGGTGGCGGTGGTGGTGGTGGTGGTGCAGTAGAAGTAGAAGAAGTAGAAGAAGTAGAAGAAGTAGAAGAAGTAGAAGAAGTAGAAGTAGTAGT